TATTTTTTTTTTTTTTTTTTTTTTTTTACTGGGCATTGACCTTGAGACCTTGCACTTGCCAGGCAGGCAGCAGAACCACTGAGCTAAATCCCTGGCTCCTGGCTAAAATTTTTTGTTACCCTTGTATTCTGTACTTTTGCTAGCATAACTAATTTTTATGACTTACCTATAACTTATTTTGAATTTTCTGTGGACATAATCATTTTTATCTTTCCATTCCCTTTATTATAATTTTATTATTGTCAAAAAGGGCCAACAAATGTCTTTGTTTGAAAATGTACCTATGTCTTATTTTGAATTTTACCTTTAAACAATATTTTCACTGGATATAGAATTTATAGGCTGGCAGCTTTTTCATTCTTTTAAAGAAATTATTTTATTGTTTTTCATAATTTCAATTAGGAAATTGACTCATTTTTACTTCTTTTCAAATAATATATCTTTTATTCCTTAGCTTTAAGATTTTCTTATTGTCATTAGTTCACCCTTCTTCAGTTGTGTGTTATTTTTTGAACCTATGCTTGATGTCTTCTGTCAATCTTTAAAACTTCCTGGCTATTTATTCTTTCAATATTTCTTCACCTTTATTCCCTTCTGAAATCTAATCAGATATATAGAATATTGACATTTTTACTGTTCTGCTTATGTCTCCTGCTGTTTTGCTACTTTTTGAATCTTTATCTTTTTCCTCTCTTCAGCTGGAATATTTTCCTATGTCACTTTGCTAATCCTCTCTTCAGCTCTGTCTGATCTGCCATTAATCCCATTTACTGAGTTTATAATTTTTTTCTGTTATTCAGTATAGCACAAGTACAGAAATGTTCGTATAAGTGCATATAATGTAAAGTGAACAATCTTGGAATGATTGCACATTTTAGGAGTTATTCCAGAGCCCTGTACATGTCCCTGCCCAATCATGACCGCTTTTCGTAGTTAATCTTTTGACATTTATGGTAATATGAACTTATAAAATATGTTTTAAATTAGAGGAAGTTACATTAAGTGAAACTAATGTCAGAACTATATGATTCCACTTACATGAAGTACTTAGAGTAGTAAAAATCAGAGAGATAGAAAGTAAAATGGTGTTTGTCAGGGGCTTAGGGAAGATGGAGATTAGAAGTAATTGTCTAACGGGTTCAGACTCTCACTTTTGCAAGGGAGAAGAGTCATGGAAATGGTGATGGCTACAGGACACTATGAATGTTTGTAACACCAATGAACTGTACGCTTAAACATGGTTAAGATAGGACACTTTATTATGTGGGTGTTTTAAAAAGGAAAGACAAAAAACATGTAGAGATGATGGAATATTCAAATAGTACAGTGTTCTTCCTAGAGAACATTTATTTTTATTATGGCAGGCATTTTGATGTAGAGGAAATGGGCTTTATCAAACTTCAGACTATGTTGATTGGGAACAGTGTTTACTTTTGAGAATGGTGATCTTTTATTTGCTTGCCTTTACTCCAGTGATATATGTTTTAGAATTTCGAGCTGAAAGCTTGGAATATTTATCAAGATTCCTCTTTAAAATATTGTATACTCCTAGTTTTTATTTTTTGCAGACTTAGAACTGCTGGAAGGTTTGCTCAGCTTCTCAGCCTCATCTTAGATGATACCAGTGAATCCACACCTGCCTCAAGGAGAAAAGCAGTACCAAGTGATGGGTTTAAATTTCTGAATTTTCCTTCTCCCCTCAAGGGAAGAACTAAGAACCCACTTCCTTGATAACTTTTTAATCAGTTTTTTTTTAAAAAAAACTGTCTTTTACATCAGCTTTTCTAGTTTTTCTTTTTTGTTTTGTTTTTTTATATATATATACAGTTCTTCCATAGGTGGACAAGGAAATCTGTCTATGTGTCTTTTTATAGTCTCATTCATTTAGCAAACATATATACCATGATGTCAAGAATCTTTGTATTGCATATACCAACGGAGTCACTCCCAATAATTGAATTACCTGTTAAAGCTCCTGTAATCAGGCAGTTCCACCTTTCCTTCAGGCTTGAAAAGTTTAGGGTACAAAGCCTCTAAAAGCTCTGGATCACTGCTAATGGCCTGTTCCCAAGGAGATTGATAGTATTTAGGTACAGCTGTGGTGTTGAATCTTTCAGGAGGAATTTCCTTCAGTGGTCCAGAATATCCTTTGGAAAAATAGAGCAAAAACTAAGTAAACAAAGTGTCCTAGAATTACTAAACTCCACCTAACATCTCACTATGTTTAATTTCTCATGCTAGAGTAAATTTATGAAGAATTCATCCTTTTTATGATGTGTCAGAAAACAGCAGTCTGAAAGTGTGACATATTTTAAAATCCCATTTTAGATTATGGAATTTTTTAAACAACCACTTTTCTTAATGTTTAAGCTTTTCAAATCATCCACTTTTTCCTTGACTATATTTATTTAGGTAAAACTGTTAATTTTAATTAATCTAAAAATGGGTGTTGAGTCATAGCCGAGGCTCCAGAGAAATAGTAGTGAAGACAAAGCCTCCCTTCTTCAAAGCTTGCTCTTTAGAGGTGATATTGGGTCTTGTCTATCTTAAGTTGCTGACTGCCTTGTACAGTGTTTAAGTTTCTAAAAAGGGAAATAATCTGCTTTCACTTCCTTATTAAGGTCTTCCTTTTCTTCCTTAAGATTTCTAACCTAGGGGAAATCCATTTCCCAGGCCCCCTTCTGTCTCTCTTAGACAGAAGTTATCTTTCTTTTGATAAATTTTTCCTCTTCTTTAAAAAAAAATATTTCTAACCTAACTTTTATGGCCTTACCACCGTGATTTATCCTTCTCCAATAAGCTAGACTTGTTTAAGTATCATTTTAAAATCACACAAATCCCTGGCATCAACCTTTAAAGGATTTCCTCAGACACAGCTGTCTGCTTTGCATCCACGCTCCCAGGCCCATCTGCTTTGTCCTTAACAGTTCTTTCTTCTACCATGTTGTCAAAACCCATGGATTACTTCTACTTTGGGGTGACCACATACTTTTTTCTATCTCTGAATTGCTTTGATTTTCTTCAAACTTGAATGTGTAAAGAGATATCTATGGTCAATGTTCATCTTTTCACACATTTCCTTGATAGTTCCATCTCTAGGCCTTTATTTATTTGTGATTATTTCCTTTCTTTCCTGATTGCTCCCAGTATGGAATGGTAATCTCTTTTTGTAACCTCTTTCTCTGGTGGCCTGTCAAGTACTGATGTTAATCAAAGGTATTCCCATGCACTTAGAAAAGTCCATTGCATTTATGGTTGTAAGTGTGACCTACATATTGACAATTCCATTTGTGCTTTTTAATCTCCATGACCTTCTTTTGAACCCCTTATTCTGTTCACCCAAATTAACATTCCATCGGCATCCTTTATAACCTGTCTAGACCTAAGTGCAACCATTTTCTCATGCATCCTATTTCTTGTTCTGTATTAGTCAATTTAGCAATATTATTACTGCCCTCAGATGCCCAAAACAGAAGCATTATTATTTCTAAACTCTTCCTTGTCCACCTACAAATCACTAAGTATTACTAACTATATTTTTTTAAATACTGGGAACTGAATTCAGGACCTTACATATGCCATACAAGCATTCAACCTCAAACTATCTTTGTTCAGTTTTATTTTGACTCAGGGTCTTGATAAATTGCCGTGGCTGGCCTCAAATTCTGGATCCTCCTTCCTCAGCCTCCCAGAGTGGCTGTGATTATAGACACATGCCATCTTCAACCTGACTCTACCTCTTTAGGATTTCTAAAATAGTGACTTTCAAACAACTAATGTTTCTGAATCACCTTGGGTACTTATTTAAAATGTAGATCATGAGCTTTTCATTCCAGAAATTTGGCTTTAGTAACTCTTAGATATGGCCTAGAAGTCCACATCTTTATCAAATGCTCATTCAAACCTTGTGCAGGTGGTTTGCAAACAGAGCACTCTGATATGGTGTTCTTTCATCTCCATTTCCATTACAGCACAGGCTCTGTCTCTGGCTTGGGCTTTGACAGCAGCCTTCACACTAATCCTTCAGCTCTCAACCTCCCTCTCTCTGTCTTCCTGTCCCATGCTGCTGCTTGAGTGACTGCAAGCTTGATCACATCCCCTCCAGAAAAAGCTGGACCCCTTAGCAGGACACGCAGAGCTCCCACCTGTCTACCTGGTCTCCTGCTACTCTCTCCTTGAGGAGTACGGATGTACTAGTCACCTGTGCTGTCCCCTTCTGTCTCCCTACTTAGTACATTTGTTCCCTGTAAAATTCCTTGAGGCTAGAGAACAATTCTTCTATCCATTTCAAATTTCATGGTGAATAGTGATGATCACATAATGAAACTTCTAAGAGATTGAATACCAAATTGTAGCATCATTAACTTCTCCATATGTGTGCTTTCTTTTCTGTTTTTAAAAAAAACAAAAACAAATGATAACAACAACAAAAAAAAATTTTCAAAAGTTATCAAGATGTTACAGTATAGTATTTGGAGCTAAAAGAATACAGTGTTTGTGTATCTTATTGTATAAGAAGGACATAAATGTGGGAAGGTAAAAAAATCAACTTTCATAGGTATTTGTTACATTATAGACTGTACTTAGAGCATCACATTTAATTCGAGCAATGATCCTGTACAGTAAAATGTTATTTCCTTATTTTAAAGCTGAGGTGGGCCAGAGATTTAGCTTAGTGGTTCCACTGCCTGCCTTGCAAGCACAAGGTCCTGAGTTTAATCCCCAGTACCAAAAATAAAATAAAATAAAATAAAAATTGAGGAAAGTGAGGCCCAAAGAGATTTATTCTCTTTCCCAATGTAGCAGTGAAATGGGAAAAGGTTGAAAAACAGTATTCAGCCAAGATCTGTTTGATTCAAAAGTTTGCTTTTCTGCCATAACTGTTAGTTGAAATCTACCAGAGAACTTTATTTCAGTAGTCAACTCAATTTCAGAATTCTATGCATATCAATCGTGACTAATCTGGTTCCCTCAGTGTTATTAATTGTCCTCACTCTGTTTAATAAGAATACCATATTCAATTGAAGCTCTCTGCATTGACAATTCAACTCATGTTTTAAAAAGATTTAGTGTTACATAGCTGGTTCATGTAGATTATTTTCAAAAGTAGAAGAGTATTCCTATTTGAGAAAAAATTTAGTAGTGCTTTTGCTAAATTTAACATTTATTTTATAAGAACATGACAGATATTACTACTTTCAAGGGAAAAAAAGCCTTTAAAGTTAAAAGGTCTACTTAGTACAGCAAATTTGCTACAGGTTATTTTGAAAGTTACTGTCCAAATAGATAAAATAGTTTTCCAAGTTTCTTTCAATATCTAACCATATTTCTAAATAATATACACTGACTGCATAAAGATTTGTTTCTAAGACAATGAATAAATGTACACTCTTAAGGGACCTGTATGCAAAGTCTTTTGAGGGAGCAGAAACTAATGAAAGCAATCTCTACAAGGTCATTTCACTCAAGACATCTGTAAATTTAGTACGAGACTTGTGTTTAATTCTTGACCAGTTAATATGGCTTCATTGACATTTGTAATCTGTAGACATTCTTAATATATAAAATGATAGTAATTGTGAATAACTATATCAGAAAGTTATAGAGAAATTGAAGCCAAAGTATGTCATAGCATTTCATAAATTACAAAATCCCATGCAAATAGAATTTCAATATAGCTACAGTTGCTTAATTTTCAATGTAATTCCCAACAAATTTATTGGATCATCCGAAAGAACTTATGGCTACTATAAATATTTTACATAATTCTTTAGGCTTGAACTTTTGCAGCTAACTTAAACTTTGCTATAAACAAATATCTAATGAGAAAAGCTATTTAGTATAAATCCATTTTAATAAATGATTCAAATGACCGGAGTCATATCTTAAGTACATAGTAATTTTATTGTTCTATTTGTAAGGGGATTAGTTACCTGGTGCGATGTTCTCTGGGTTTGGAGGGCTTCGTGGGTCTGGGGTGTTGGGAGGAGTCAAGGGTGCTTGCTGTGAGCTCCCTTCCAAGTGGCTTCCATCCGTCTTCTCATTTTGCATAGCAAGATTGTGCTGCATTTGATCAAAAGTAAACTCTGCTGAAAACTCCAAAATGTCAGGTACACTAACAAGAGCTGCACATACGAGGCTCCACTTGTCTATCTAAAGTTTAAACATAATGCCACTTTATTGTTTTCATAGCCTCAATAATTTACATGGCAATAAGGTTGGGAAGTTGAATGAGAAAGTTTGCTGATAACAATCTATGATCTGTTTTATGAGGATATCACTGAATAATAATTAAAATCAAAATGAACTGAACCTTATTAAGCCTTATTGTGTGACAGACACTACATCTAGTACTTCATATCAAAAATTTAAATTTGGATTCATAACATCCCTATAAGATAAATATATTTAACTTTTAAATCTTTACTAATCTAATAATGCACAGCATATTGGTCAAATATTTAACTTAGAGACTTTTACATTAGCATTTCATCTTATAGTTGAGCCTTAATTATTTTTTAATATGTAGAAAGTTTTAAAATTATGTGAAATTTCAAAAGTAGTCATACATATATCTACCCCAAAATAAAAAAAAGACAAACAGAAAAGTTATTTGTACTTTCACTTGCATGGACTTTTCTAAAAGGCACATTTTGTGATTTTTAGAAAATAAAATGTTGAAATAAACTTCTTTTTGAGACAGTGTCTTGGTCTCACAGCCCAAGTTGGCCATGAACTAACTTGCTCTGTAGACTTCAGTCAACTTGAACTTCCTATTTCCCTCAGCCTCCCAACAGCTGGTACAACAGGCGTGAGTCGCCACCCTTTTCTTAAATGTAAGTGTGTGAGGTCAAAGTGACAAAGCGAAATTTAGTCCAGAGCATGGCAGAAAGAGACCCATTTTGACTTTTCTCTGTGTGACATCTGTATAAGATACCTACTGTTTTTGTATTTTTATATTTATTTATTAGATTTTGTGATGAAATATACCTTTACATTTTAATATTTATTTAACTTTCTAGAATTTTTATAATTAAAATATATTTTGTCTTAAAATTCAAATGTAGGGCTGGGGATTTAGCTCAGTGGCACCATACCTGCCTTGCAAGTACAAGGTTCTGAGTTTGATCCCCAGTACCAAAAAAAAAAAAAAAATTTATTCAAATATCATAAAGTCTATAAATTAAAAGCCTCATCTGATATTATGAAGGAAATAGGACATAGTTTATCATTGTTTTCTTACTTCACTAAGAATCACTCTCCAAGTGCATTTTGCACTGATGTTAATCTCAATAGTATCCTCCAAAAAAGTTTATTTTTAAATACCAGTCTAAATCTAATCCCTGTTCTCTTGCCTACTGTATCAAAGCCCTTATCTAGTCAGAGCAGATAGTTATTAAATGAAGTCATCACGAGTACATTATATTTGTGAAATATTGATAACTTGCCTTGATGTACTAACTTTCCAAGAAAAAAACATACACATATATTCAAAGAATAACTTTTTAAACAAAAGATTTAACTTGAAGTAGACTTAATTTCCAGTTTTCATATTTTGGGAAGGATTTTTCTCATAGCTGTCTCTGCCTGAGGTTGACATTTATAGCAAAAATACTAAAATGTAAAACATTTTTTAAAATTTCAAACTTTACATATATAATTACAAACCCACCATCATGTTTGTACTTTACTGAAGATTTGTATTAAGATCTTTCATCAGTTTTTTAAAATGTGTCTGAAGCATAGACTAACCCGGGTATGCCTCTCACATTACCTCATACACTTTCCTACTTTAGATTCTCAGTCACAGGAGCTTCCCAGGCAAAGACCCCTGTCACTAATTCCATGGTGATCTGTCTTGATTTAGAAGCCACTCCTTCCCTAACGTCCCCTGATACTAGTCAAAATTTTGTCTTTCTTTCTGCTTGTCCTGTGTCATTTGCCATCATTTGCCTTTCAAATCAACTTTAAGGTATCATTTTACTTACTAGCTTGTTAGGTCCTTGAGAACAAGGACTTTTCTTACTCATCTATTTGATTTTCAAAAAGCCTTTTACAGTGCCATATATATATATATATATATATATATTCATAAATACTGTGAATATTTGCTAAATTCTTAGTGAATTAATCAAATCTAGCTGATTTCTTTTTACTATAACCTATTTTAAAACATCACTTCTTTTTCTCATTGAGTTTATTGGTACTTTTTATGTATACAGTACAGTTACATTCATTATTGGGATCTTGTACCTTTACATGACAGGTCTTGGTTCTTTTTTTTTCCCCATGCACCTGCCCTCCCTTCACCCCTTCCTTCCTTCCCTATTTACAAAAAACAATTTTTTCCATTTTTTAATTTTCTCATATTTTTTCTTTTCCGTTATTTCCTTTCCCCTACAAGTGTAAATAAGATCCAAATGGTATAATTGACAATGTGAAATAGGAGGATAAGGGCTAAAGGTGTAGGGGAAACATCACTTTTTTCTCTTCACACTGTCTTCGTGTGCAGTCATCATGGCTCATACCTTTACTACACAGTCATCATCTCTTGTTCATTTCCCACCTGGCCCTTCTCTGTCTGTGTGAATGCTTTCTGAGCACCACATGCATGACTCACTCCTATTGTTCAACAAATAAACTGCAAGCTCGTGCTCAGAAATTCAGATCTTGCACTCACTTGTACTCTTTACCTCTCACACCTACCAGCATCTCTTTGCCACCAGTTTCCCATGGAGTTGCTGTATTCACCACCATTCATCGCTTTCCTGGACTGCTTCATCTGCGTGAAAGGCCCTCCCTTGGTCAAACCAAAGCCTAGATTCCTTCTGGGACACATCTCCACATTTCCTTCTTCATTGACTAACTCAACTTAACAGAAACCTCTCCAGAGTTCACATTTCAACACTTCAATGACACCTGTACCACCCTCTGTGATCTTTCTTATTTGTTCTTGGTAGCTGGATTTCATTACTGCATTTATTTCATTTTGGTTCCCCAACTAGTTTATAGTCCAGTTTAAATCTATGAGCACTAATATTTTTTCTTTATTCTAAGATAACGTTATAAAGATTATTTTAAGAAATTGATTTAAAGCACTTTCACATATGTACATGTATAATGTTGTGCATTTTGAATTTAGATTCTAGCCCATGTTTAACTTTATGGATTAAATGAGTATTTTTTTAATTTTTAAAATTCTGAACCTACACTTCCTGTTTAAAATGAAAAGTTTCTGCTAACTTTATTTAAAAAATGGCATACAGATAAGTATAGAAAATCTAAATGTATAATAGGTACAGAATTACCTTTTCTAAGTTTTCTGAATATGTCCATGAAATGAATTTCACCTAAACTTACAAACCATTCTGTCTACATTAATTTTTGAGAATATTAACCTTAAGTTTTCCTGGGGATTAATGACAAATGGGAGAATGAACTCTTTCAGGTAGTTATTAATTATCAGGAGACACCCAGTACTTCCATTATCATGGTTAAGTGTAGAAATAAAGCCTTGTAATGGTTAGGTAGTGATTTATTTTAATTATGACATAAGCCATAAATTATAGCATTTCATCATCATCTGTGACTCCCTTGAGAAAAGTTGGAAAGACAAATTTAAATGTATTTTTTTACCTTAGTTAAATTGACCCTAAAGAAAATAAAACTAGAGCAGTATCTTATGGGTTATAAACATATAAATTAGAAACATATATATAATATAAATGACATGAGTTCTGTTGAAATAGCAACATAAAGAAAAGTGGGTATTTTGAGGTTTGTCTTGTACCTCAGGCTAAATATGTATGTTATGTTTTGAACAAATCAATATATATTCAGAATCCCAATATATATTTAGTTTGGTTTTACTTCAAAAATACATTTTTAGGGGCTGGGGATTTAGCTCAGTGTTTCCAGCACCTGCTTCACATGCACAAGGTCCTGAGTTTGATACCCTGTACCAAAAAAATCCATTTTTAGTATATTTTCCCTTAATTTAATTTAATTTTCTCATTTAATTATAGAGCATTATTTAAATATTATTTAAGATTTATAGAGCTTTTGAAATATTTTTTCATAATGATTTATAGAAGAGAATTTGAGAATTTTAATTATCATGAATTATTCATTTTTCCCTTGAAAGCTTATTTCCTTCATCCAGTTTTTTTGCCTTTTGTCTAAGACATAAACCAGTATATATGGCATGAATTTGCCAATGTCCTTACATAGTAGAGTAGGCTAAAAAAATACATTTCTACCTTTTGTTTTTCAATAATACTTAATATTTGAACAAATGGTATCAATTACTAGAGATTTGATTTCTATTTTTATCTATAGGTCCTTAAACACTATTACAAAATAAGAAAGATACAAAGATATTTTAAATCCTTATTTTCACAATGCCTATAGCTTGAGGGAAGAGGTAAAAGTAATTCCAGAAAACATAATAAAAAAAACTAAGCTAATGTTATATATCCTATAAAGGTGATTCAAGAACTAGATTGTTAACAGTTGCTATCTATCTATGGTCTCCATTATTAGACAAAGTCTGTATTTATTTATCTTTAAATTTCCACCATAGTATTGAATAAATATTTGTCAAAAGTATAAATAAGTATATGAAAATATACCCGAAAATGTTATTTTAAAAGCTTCTGTCATACTATGTTACAAATTTATGCCTTGACAAAAATGAATGTATCATATAATGAGGCTTGCTATCTTCCTCAACTCTTTATTTTGCAGACAATTTTTAGAAGAGCAGAGAATCCACAGTTGCTCAAGCCAGAAGTCACCATAGCATTTGAGTCCATACCAATATCTTACAGATGAGAAAAGAAATCCAGAAAAGTGAAGAAACTTAAATTTACTCCACATCACATGGTTGATGACAGAGCCAGGACCCAACCCTGGTCACCCTGTTCCCAGGCCAGAATTTCTCTGTATTACACCACAATAAGTGTTGGTGCTAGCATCCTAAGAGCCTGGTTTCAGTCTCTCTTAGCATATTGTTGCTTAAATCAAATCAACATACTTTTCTGAGTACAACTTCCCTTATTTATAGAGAATGAATTTCATCATTCTTCAGAGTACATTATGTAATGCAGTGCAATGCAACTTAATTGTATACTTCATTATTGTTTATTGTTCTGAGTTATCAGCATTTAATTATTTAATATACCTGGTTGGGGCTATTTTATTCATTTAGTTCCCAATTTTCAGGTAATAATGAAAAATTCTCAAGACAAAATCTTACACATTTTATGCAAGACTAGAATATTTGACTACAGATATATAAAATTAGTGTCAATAATTTGAGATAGTGTGATGACAGAATACATTGTATGCATATGGATTTTTTGTTTGTTATTTTGGGGAAAACCTTGCTATGTAGTTCAGAATGACCTTGGACTTACTATGTAGGCCAGATTAGCCTGGAACCTGCATTGATTGTCTTACCTTAGACTCCCAAATGCTGAGATTTCAGGCATTCACTACCATACCCATCCCATAAGAACATTTTCACACTCTTTGTACCTTTCCTCAGAACTGTAGTTTGAGTACTCCTCTTAGAAGTGGAAGCTATAGCCAGGCCTGGTGGTGCATGCCTGTAATCCCTGCACTTGGGAGGCTGAGGCAGGAGGATCACTGTGAGCTTGAGACCAGCCTAGGCTACATAGTGAGTTCCAGGTCAGTCTCAACTACCATAGTAAGACCCTGTCTCACAAAAAACAAAACAAAACAAAACAAAACAAAACAAAACAAAATATATATATGGAAGTTATAAAAATAGGCATTATTCACTTACTAACATGTCTACACTCATAGATGGCTTTTCAAAAATTTCTTTAAGCTACCTTGTTTTAAATTATTTCATGAAGTGTCTTCTCTGTTGTCATTATTGAAAGAATGTGATTACATAATCAGACTATGTCAGATGGAGTTGGGATTATTTTCGGCTCATACCGTATTAGCCACAGGCATTTTCTGATAAGAGGATACTGTGCGTAATTATAGGGTGACATAACATTATCTTTATTCATCACTTCAAGTGAAAAACTTTCCTTTATAATATAAATACTGCAGCTGAGTATAATTTGAAGCCTAGTTGATTCTAGAATTGTAACTAAATGTAATCCAAGGATATGAAGGGCAGTTATTTATGTGAAAAAATTTTTTCATTTACCACTTTTTGTCTTTGTAGTGCTGGCACTCAGTTATATCCAAAATTCCTCAATTTTTCATTTAAAATACTCTCTCAACACTTAAGCAAAGCAAGAGAAATATAAATTTTGGAAATTAACAAAATTTTGTTGTTTGTGGGTGTGGATGTTACTTTTTATAGTTTGTTTTAGTAAATCTGATAAAAGAATTTAGTAAAATTAATCTTTTGTGACAAATGAGCTCTCATTCCAAACAACTTCTTAGTGACTACAAGTGGTCACTAAGTTTGTATTTGGTGAAGTTTATATTTGTAAGGAAACTTAAATAGCTTTCATAACCATAGAAATAAATCCTCAGTAAATAAAACCTATTTGTTGTAATTTCCACAAGCCCTTAAAATTTAGGACCAGGCACGTTTCATTTTTAGTTCTTTATGCCTGTTGTTTGATGTTTAAAGCCATTTTCCCAAAGCTGGTCACCTTTCTACTATGAACTTCTTCCTTTACAGTCACTCCAAATAACAGTCTATGCAAATACAATATTAATTCACTATATAAAATATAATTAAATTAATTAATTTGTTTGATTTTTAAGCTTATGGTTGAGGAAATCTTTATCTAGAGTTATATCCTCATTGGTTTTGTCATGAATAGGTTCCGACTTCCCTATGCGATGCAGAATAAGGGCTTCATGAAGATATTGAGTCTGTAGTTTCCAGGCATTTTTCAGGGACAGGATGTATTTGGCCAATAAAATACTTGCCCTTATTTTTTGGAGTACTATGTGCTTTGGAAGTGTTTCCATCTCAAACATTTAACTGGCGGTGATAAGACCATGGAAATTTTAGCCCACTTTTCCCTGAACTCTCTCCTTCCTTTCAGCAAACAGACCAGTTTCTCTATGCCAAATCTACAAGCTTACAATGCCCCTGTTGAAATAAAAGCACGCTCATATCATATGTAATACTGCTTTTGTTTACTCACCTAAACGATTCATTATCATAAATTTTTAAAATGTCTAACAGAAACAACTGAAAGAAACTCTGGAGAGTGACTTATTGGGGAATCTAGCAATACGTATAGAGTTAGATACGTCACCCTTTCATTTGGATACCACATGCCCAAGTTATGCTTACATTTATTTGTGCTTTAGTTTCATACTGGAAATTTTCAAATGTGTATTTGTCAGATCTTCTTTGACGCATCTTGAATAACCTGGCACCACGATTACTGAGATGAGATAATTCTTCCAACATGATGTCTTGGGGGATGCTGACTTTCTTGCCCAGATCCATGCCATTTATATCTGTAAAATAGTTTCATTTGCATGAAAATCTCAAAGTAAACATTTTTAATGCTTTTTTAAATTTCATGATTTGTTGTCTGCTATTTAGTAATTTAAATATGGACTCTTCCATCAGACAACATTGAGATAGATACTACTTCCACTACATTCTAACTGCATAAACGTGGGTATGTTACTTATTTTGCCTACACCTCAGTTTCCACATCTCTAAAGTACAGTTAGTAATAATATTAATAATACCTACTACAAAGTGTTGATAAGAGAGTTAAATGAAATTCTTCATATAAAGCATTTAGCAGGGTATCAGGCAAAAAGAGTGAATAAGAGTTAGCTCATTACTATTAGTATGATGTAAATATTTACTGAGTTTTCAAAACAGCACTTGCTTCATTGTTACATTAAGAAGCTCTGTTTTTCTCCTCATATTTTTGTGTGTCAGTTTGAGCTCTCCCTTTTACTAAAATATCTACCTTCCCACACCACTCCAGTCCATTCCCAGTTTAGGTCAAAATACTATTCAATCTGTACTCAGCACTACGGAACCTACATAAAGTAGGCAGATGATAAGTACTTAATGAACACCCTTCCCATCCAACTCAAGTGGGATTTCTGTAAATACTTCTCTAAAATATCTAGATATTTGTGGCTTATGTATATTCCCACAACATTGAATCACATTTGTTTTATGGTCTAAATTTTCTTTATGCTTTAATCTTTGGATCCCATGTGCCTTAGATTTTCAGTAACTGAACATTATTTTCTATTTCTATTACTAAAGAGCTTTTCCAAAATCCAGAAGAGATGAGACTCCTCCCCTGGTTTCTTGAATGATGAATATAGTTTTTGTATAGTCCACAAAGTCCTTTTGCCACTGAAGCCTGCTCTTAAATGCTGAGGAAGAAAACTCGGCCATTAAGAAAATAATTATTTTGACTGATTGAAGCAACAATCTCAGATGATGTTATGAATTAGTCATAATATGTTGGCTTTTGGGAATGTTTAGTATAAAATAGAACCATTTATTTATTATTGTCCCTATTTTGATTTGAAAAAGTCAATTTCTTTGCATGTTTTGATCTTACATGGAGAGGAGTTCCACTAACTATCAAACTCATAGTATTATGACTTCTGCTTCTGTGTAGATGGGCTAGACATATTCTTTCTTCCCTATACATTTATTAAGTACAAATAAAAATTCTGGGCATTATGCATAAAGCAAAAATATGAAGACACAGAAAAGTGGAGAGAAGAAGGCAAAGCCAGCCAGGAACCCCAGGAACATCAGGGCAATGATTTCCTTGGGTTTTCTTTTAGCTTCACACATCTCAGACTTGAAGCTGAAGGAACCGGCAACCCAGGAAAACCAAAGGGTAGGAACAAAAAAGCTCCAACAAAAGACTATTCTTCTATCCAAAGGACAAGGAAAAGAACAGCCTCACAGGATAGAAAATATTTAGACAATGGACACTCTGCTTTAGCCAAGCGTCACAGAAAAACTGCTGGCCTCATCACCACATGTTAACAAAGACCAAGTGTACGGCCTGAAATTTTACTCTGCAAGACTGTATGTAGTCTGGTTCACCAATACTCCCAGTAGGGTGATATAAAGCTAAAACTTTCTTCCCTGTTGCCCTATAATAAACTCTTCCCTGAAGTATTCCTGGAGACAGTGTGGGAGTCCGAACTCCTACCACATCTCTGCAGTATTGAGAGCATCTTCTCAAGTTTTATTGGGGGCCAAGTGGAGACACCAGACTTCCACCTCTTCCCAATACAATGCATAGCAGCTTTGTCTGGATCCCTAATACATTAAAACAAACATAATGCAGCATTGTGCTTTACAGGAATAGCAGAGAAATTCTATGGAAAAGGTATGAGATGGAGTGGAAGGGATAAGGATGTTTCACAACCTAGGATATCCTGGAATCATTTGCTAGCTTGGCTGAGTCTAATAGGAAACACATATTCACCTCTGTTTATGTATTTGGCATCTCCGTCATTGTGTGTTTGTAACAGGGAAGGAGGAACTGGGTTATTTTTCAGTGTTTGTATGAATATAACTCAATATACTAGATAATATGACAGGAGTGGGTTATTTCAACTTTTTGATTTCTTGGAATCATGATAGCAGGTTTCCTCTGGATCATAAAAGATAGAAAAAATGCAGTATTATTTATTATAATCTGATATAGGATTAGAAGAAGGAGGAATCTTTGTCGTGAAATGCAATTGAAAAGGGTTCAACTTGTAGGTGAGAGGAAGGGAAGGAAAAAGGAGAAAAGGGGAGAACAGGCTATTTATACAGAAAATCAAAACCCAGAATTTTGTCCAGCAAACCTTTTTTAGAGTTATACATATAATTACATATTACATGTAATATTTTTAAACAAATGTATATTTTTCTTGAAAAGCCTTTGTAATGGTACAATGTAAGGAAATTTAAAAAAAAAATACCACAGAGGAAAACACTACATAAAGCACAGAAGACAATCTTCATAACAATGAGGTCTTTCTCTTTATAGTTAAAGCTAGTAAGATTTTCAATAAGGAAAATGCAATTTCTTCCCTTCTCTTTTTCTGTTATCAGTTGGAGCAATTAGTGTCATTATAAGCAGTTAAAGTAAAATAGGACTAGACCGCTGCCTGAATCACAAGTGCAAGGGCCCACGTTCGATACCCGGTACAAAAAAAAAAAGATAAAGCAGGACTAGAAAGTAGGAATAACATATTACATTGACTTTCTACAAGTTCGTAACTTTAAGTTTTTGCATAGGTTTAATTTGGGGGTGCCAAGACAAAAATTTGAGAACATGTATCTGACTTTCGACTTCCTAACAGCCCTTGTCTTCGTGACTCTACCAACATTTCTAAAATAACCATGTGACCTTAGTTGCCCGAGATTTATAAGTCATCTGTGATGTGCTTGATGGGTTCACAGGAGTTAACTGCTACATTTAAAAAATTTTCAGTAGTTACAGCACCAAAAACATCATTCTCAAATTATATGCACTTAATAATTAAACAAATTACATTAAAACATAGCAAAGTTATACAAAAGTATCAATTTATAATCCTTTTGCTACTTTTTGCTATTATATGCTTTAAGGTTATTTGCATGTTGGAAACTCTATAGCATCTACTATCATGTAACAGTAGTATTTACACACAGAAATTGGCAAACTTTACAGTGTAAGGCACTTTATCCCCAAGGAACCAGTTGGGAAATATTTACTAGTTAGTGTACGACTGGCCATTTCTATCAATGCTAGGAATATTTTGTCAATATACTTTGCATAAACAAACAAAAAAGATGTAAAATAAATTATCCAAGACTTTCTTCCCTACCCTTTTAAATAGTTAAATTTATAATGTCACTGAAGCAGGAATTCCAGGACCATTTATGAGCTGGGAACTGGATGTGAGATCACACATACTACTCAAGACTTTCACTGAAGAATGCTGTCAACTGAGCAGAGAGATCCCGAGTTCAGCTGTCTCCTGCTCTTTATTGCAAACCCTTGCACAGTCTTAATAGTGTGTTTAATCTTGATGCCTGACAAATGATATATCTTATTCAGAATACACATCCTTGCCCTCCTGGCTTAGAACATTGTCTTTGTGGCATTAGATCATCTATTGAAAATAATATTGCTAAGCATACTTTCCTACTGGTGTCATTTATAGTGTTCCAGAAATGTAGTTAGATCAGTGAATCCAATACATAGTTTCAAAAATATCCACTTACAAATAATTGTAGTTATGCTTTAAACTGTTTCTCCATATTTGACTGCCAACTGCCACTCTGATAGAATAGATAAAACCACTGGAGGGAAGCTGGCTGAAGATTACTTGCATTAGGGTTAGCTTATTTATTTATTTAGAAGTCGTACTGAGGCAAAGAGATTCTGTCTACACTTGATGGGCCTCTTCTGCTTATTTACCATCAGCCTATGTGAACAGAATAGTAAACCATAAAATATGTATTACTACATAATGTAACAATATCTATGACACCTACATATTACATATAACATAAAATATCATAATCCAGGTTGTGATTTTGAGTAATGCCTGAAAAATTCCAATTGGTAAAATGTTTTTTGGTAAGTTTTTTTCAGATACAAAGGTTTAAAAACCCAACTATAGTTATTTTTTTCCTATTTTGTGTATTTTTGCTCACGATTTGAGTACTGAGATTATTTTATAAAGTTTTCAAAAACTTGGGCAATAATGAAAGTATAAATTAAGATATGTATAAATCTATAAACATTTAAGAAATAAGATTACCAGTGTATTGAATTATACAAATTAAATTGTACACTTGGAACATCTGTTACTGCTCATAGAATGTATATCAACAGCATCCTAGAGTAAAAAAGGTATCAAAGCAAACTAGAATGACGAAGCTTGGAACAGTGGCATGTGTCTGTAAATTCAGCTAATGAGGAGGCTGAGGCAGGAGGAATGTGATTTTGAGCCCAGCTTAGGCAATTTAGTGTGAATTTAAGTAAAAAAAAAGAAAAAAAACTAAATGATGAAGTGATTATAGCTAGAATTAAACTCTTCTGAAAGAAAGAAAGGGAGAGAGAGAAAAGAGAAAGAAAGAAAAAAAGAAAGAGACAGAAAGAGAAAACTAGGATCATGGAATAGATGGTTAGAATTAAATTCCATAGTTTCAACTTTGGCATAAAATATGATTTAGCCTAGTGCTCTGCTAAGTTTTTTAGAAAGCCTTTTAAGTTTAGATGCTCAGAAAGTGTATGAATTCACATGATGTGAGTGCACCTTAGTTTTGAAAATAAAACAGGCTTTCCTGGCTTTGTTTTTTCTTGGAGTTATGGGAATTCTAATATGAAACGTTAAATCAGACAAAACATAATTTGCAAACATAAGCAGTGAATCATTCCTTTTATCCCTGATTTTTTATACTTGATATGAGGTATTTATGGACTTCCTGTTTTCTTCATGTTGGTGTTGAAGGTTAATTAGCTTCAGATGTGGTCATACAGGAGAAGTAGAAGAGATCTTCACATAATCTTTCCTCTGAAATTCTACACCTTATTCTCTGTACGTTTTCAAAGTGTCCTTGAAAATTATGTCAGTATTATCATTTCCTTTGTTACCGTTGGAAAACCTGATCTTTGACTTCAATATTGAGCTCAGGAGAGTCGTGGAGTTTTTGAGTTAGATGTGTCAGTGAATCCAGCTTTCTTTGTTTTTATGATGAAGGCTCTGAGGCCTGTTCTGGAACCCATGGCTCCTAGTACCCTATCAGCGCTCCATTGAGAACCTGGGCTTCCTGTTTTCAGACCACAAAGCTAAACTCTTTTCCTGAAATTACAAAAATAATCTGCCCAGTTTTCATCTGTGTGCTAGAGAAGGCTGTTCACCAGTCCTGAGAAGAAAAACAAAAACAAACCAGAAGCATACCAAAAGATAAAAAAAAAAGAAGTCCTCCCAGAGCCTAGGTGAAAACACAGCAGTGTGACAGAAGTGGCTTGTTGAGGTTCTGTGGTCTTCTTTTTTTTTTCTTGAGCTCTAATTCTGAACTGTCAGAAACAAATCTGTGCTGAAAGTCAGGGCATATCATACTCCCAGTTCTTCTTTAGGTTATTTTAATTCCAATTCTTTCCCCCCATTATTTCTAAACAGATGTCAGTTGCTCCTGAATGCAGCTTCTTACTCCATTCTGATCGCTAAGTCTCTTGCTCTATCAATTTATTACTTCCTATCCTTTCATCCTTCCCTAGTCCTCTTTCTTTCTCCAGTCTTAAGAGTTTGAAATCAGTTAATGAGTAAGAGAGGAATGTGATGCATACTGGAAAACATCTACAAATCCAGGGTATACTGCACAGAGCTGGTGAATTATAGGCCATCTTTTCTTGTCCCCACAATGAATTTATGCCCAGATTATGACAAAATATGTCTTGGGTTTTGGTCTTTTACAACAGTAGTTGCTTGGTGCTAGCAACTGTGGCTGAGCTGCTTTTGTAGAAAGCATGGGGATTTGCCACAGTCACAGGACAGCCTCACCAGCAGCTTGATTGCTGTCAGTATGAAGAAGACAATGACGGTCATCACTGGCAGAGTGAGAAAGGTCAACCCGAGAGCAGACAACCTTAGTGACAGGGAGACTTTATACGAGTTATTTGTTGGGTGTGTTGTATATTTGCTTCCAGTACATAACTTAACACCAAATTGTAATACATCTGTAATGAGCAACATAATAGCTCATTATAGATGAAACATAGTAGAAGCTTCCTTTTAAATTTTAAATTATCTTTTAAATTATCTTCCTTTTAAATTTCATCCTATCCAGGACTGGGAATTTTAGCTCAGTGGTTCCAGTGCCTGCTTTGTAAGTGCAGGAATCCGAGTTTGATCCCCGGTACCAGAAAAAATTTTTTTTCATCCTATCCAGTTAGCACTATAGTCTATGGATAAGATATTTTACAATAATTCTTTAAGGTCATTTCTCCTAATGGAAGGGGTGATCTGATGTGAAACTCTCCCTTCTGCTGCATTTTTCTATTTATTTATGTCAAAGATTCACCAGTCACAGTTTATTTTCCATACACTGATTTGCACTCCATGTTTAACTCAGTCACATCTCATTCTCTTACAGGCTAAATGTTTTGGGGGTATGATAATAAAAATAACTAAGTTACAATGTTGCAAAAATATTCTAATTTACATGGAAAGAGGGGAGTGGCAAAGGGGTTTGCAAAGGTCCTTTTCTACTTTTTTCTCTCCCTTCCTTCCCTCCTTCCTTTTTCTGGGTACTGGGGTTGAACTGAGTACCTTGTACTTTCCAGGCAGGCGTGGTGCCACTGAGCTACATCACTGGCCTTCTGTTCACTTTTATAAAGTGTGATCTAGCCCAGATTTGATTGAATCATTCTTATGATTGAGGCCAACACAGTTGCATGTTTTATGTTACATTACACAAATTTTTACTGCTGTAATGTGTGTAAACGTATTGAGACTTTTTGAGTACTTTCTTTCTTTTTTTTTTTAGTACTGGGGATTGAGCTTGTGCTTGCGAAGCAGGCTGTGGAACCACTGAACCAAATCCCTGGCCCCATATTGAGGCTTTTAAAAAAGATTTTTCTTTAACTTTTTCTCATTTCTGCATTCTTAGGGGAAAAAAAAGCAAGCAACCCCCCAGCAGCTCCAGATATCTAAACACCATGTAGTACACAAATCCTGAACATTCATGTAAGATGCCAGAGGACGAGGAAAATAAAATATTTGAGCTGCTATAGAGAGCATTACAGCTGTTTTATCGGGGATGAGTCTAATTATCACTGTGTTATCTGGACCGTGAAACATGGCAAAGGCAGGGCATGTGACACCTCTTACAGGGCTGGAGCTCATTCTGGGCTGAAAGGAGGCTTTGCCAGATGTAAATAGCTAGATTTCCTGGTGGTGAGGTAGTAGTTTTCAGGGTTTGTTCCTTCTTGGGATATAATTGTATTTTCACCCTTTAAATTTCATAAAATCAATAGTTGTATTTATTAAAAAATTAAAAAGACGCTTATGGGTCTAGACAAGGGCTACAACAGAGTAGAATCCAGGACTTAAATTGAGAATAATTAAATGAATTTATTTATTTATGATTATGATATAATTTAAAAAGAGTTTTCCTGAGGTCTAGTTTAAAGCCAAACAATTCAGTCTCGGATTCAAGTGATTATCTAATTTTTGCCTTATTAGGCAGGAGAATTATACAAACTATTTCAAGTAAAGTGACTGATACAAATTCAGTTCTGGTATCTGGGTCAGAATTATTCTCATTTTATTCTAAACTAATTTGACATCATAGCACATGAATACCAAAATGAACCCAGTAGTGAGTGATGTTGTATTGCAGAAAATAGAAGAAAAAACTTAATAACAGGACCCTTTAGATGGCACTGCATGTTATGGGGAGCATGTAAACATCTTTGGTTCTGTTCAGGTTACTTTATAAAAGGTGTGGTACGGAAACACAGTTCCAGCTGCCCCATCAACCTGCTCTTCTATAGGTCTCAATATTATCACAGGGAAAGGCTATACTCTTTGCCAATAGACAGGAAATAAAGGTACATTCTGAAAATTCCACAGATATGTCTGGAATGGCTCAAATCAACCCTTAAAAGGACCTGGATATTCTACTCAACTTGAAAAATTAATGCTATCTTTTCCTCATGAAAAAATTGAATTTCCTTTGTGATAACAAAAATGCAAGGAATAAAACATTGATTCCTATAACTATTTGTAAAAATCCACAGAAAAAAGAGACTAAAAAAGGAAAAAGCAGAGCAGAATAGTACCTTGCATCTAATACATATTAAATTTTTTTTTTTTGAGTTGAAGTTTTGGAACTTTAAAAACCTTTTTTCACTCCTCTAAGTAATTATAAATAAAAGTAGTTTTTGCACAAAAATATGTTAGTGAATCAAAAATCAAATGTTAAGGCTGGTTTTAGGATAAATAAGCAATGAATACTAATTTGGATTCCTTCCGTAGCTTTCATGAAAAGATGATTAAACCTATTTTCCATGATTCATGTCATATAAGATAAAAGAAATCAAGACAGACCATGTGCAATAAACTATAAAGATAAGATTATGTGAGTTCTATGCAAAAACAAGAGAGTGATATTAACTGATAATGTACAAGGCAGGCCAAGCAGAATGTACATCAGCTGTCAGACTGCTTCATTCCTTTTATAGCAGTTGTTCATCTGAAAATAGCTTCCAAATGAGAAAGGATCACTACAAAAGGATTCATTACCATAGGCTTTTCAACACCCACTCTAGAGCTTCCAGTTTGTTATGATAGAACGGCAAGTATTTGAAGGATAATAAATAACATAAAGAAGGCTCTACTTGAATACTGAGCTATCTATATTAATGAGACGAAGGTTTCTTTGGATACCATTTCTGTGGATTTCCCTCATGATGGCTGATGCTTGCTCTTTCCTCTGCTTCACCATGGTACTGTGTGATAGCATAGTTTTTTTGCTGCCTGTTAAAAATAAAGGGATGTTATTAAAGTAATGTGAAGAACTCAATTGCTGTTTTATACTCCTACCTTTGGAAGAGAACATCTTATTCTTTTGTAAGAATTTATGATTTCTTGCCACTGAGACTTTAATATGCATTCCTTGTCTGGAGACAGAGCATGTTATTCAACCACAATCAACATGAACAGAGGATGACACTCAGAGTTTCAAACCAGTCTTATCTGTACATTAGTACAATGATCATCAGGCAGTGAGAAACAATGAAACAGCAGTGTCCTTCCCTCACTCTCTCCCTTTTCCATTGTTTATTTTTAATCTGTCATTGTTTCTTTACTGGCCTTCATTTGTATCAGTATCACAGTACATCAATTTCAACAAAACTGTAAGAATGAAGGAAACACAGATTAAGCCAGAACTATCTGGTGGTGGCATTTTAATATTGGCACCAACAGCTGTCTTTCAAAGCAAAGAATGCTCATTTGTGAGTCACAGTTCTGAATTTCCTAGGGCAACTGACTAATAGAACTTTTTAGGAAACAGTTTACTCACCTTGCTGTTAGATGTGCTTTCCAGCAGGGCTGATTCCCAATTGTAGAGGAAGACTCTGGAGATAGAATACAGATGGCACTTAGGCCCAGTGGATTTTATCCTTGAACCTGGGACGGCATGGTCCCCAGCTCTGACTCAAACTGAGAACTGAGGCTTTCTGCAGGGACCAGCATCCAGCTGACATCAGCTGACTATATATAGCACCAAATACTTCAGCTACTCATATCTTCCTGGCGAAAGGGAGGAACGGGGAAAGATTAGGTTCTCTCCATTGTCTGTCTAGTTTGTGAGATGGTTAGATGAAATATTCGTTCACTGAACATGAACAAAGTTTTTATCGAACACCTTTTGTTTGAAGATGTCTTTGACAAAAGGAATTTTAAAAACTATAAAGCCAGGCCTGGTGGTGCACGCATGTAACCCCAGCACTCTGGAGGCAGAGGCAAGAAAACTGTTGAGTTAAAGGCCAATCGGGGCTACATAGCGAGATTAAGGTCAGCCTGAACTGCCTAGCTAAACTCTTATCTCGAAGGACCAAAAAAATTGTAAGATATAATTCTTATGCTACATATCAATTGAGGTGACAAGCAGCATGTGCATAAACTAAAATAAAATGATAGGTTATTTATCATTAAAATGACCAGTATGGACAAAAATATCTATGGAAAGAAAACAAGCAATGGTGGGGGCTAGACCTTAGGCAAACATAAAGAACTTATGCTGGGTTCATAAAACTGGGTATAGTTGAAGTGGAAGTGGAAGAAGTTTGAAATGGACCATTATAGGTTCAGCCATGAAACTACTAAAAATTTAGACTTATAATGAGGTCACACTTTTTGAAGAGACTTCATAGAGAGCAGTCTCTGTAAAGTTGACTGGTCTCTTCAAGGCTTAGAGTCAAGAGTTTCTATTTGGGGGAATGAGAAGAAAGAAATTTGAAAGTGTTGGCCTCCTTTGGTGGCCTTTGGGAATAAAAATACATTTCCTCTCTGGGATTTTTCTTTTACAACTTCCTGTTTCCCAGACATGCTTTCCTACTCCGCATGGCCCACTCCCTCACACTCTTGGGACTCTGCTCAAGTACTAGGTCCTTATGAAAACATTCCCCATCATCCTATCTACAGCATGACATTGTGCTGTCCTTTGGTCCTTTACCCTGCTTTATTTTTCTTTATATTTTTGTATTAGTCAAAATTAAAGCCAAATGGGGGGTAACAAAAATCCCTCAAAATGGAAACAAACAAAAAGATAGAGCCTATAATCTCAAGAAATGTAATCTATGGTGGTATGACTATCAAGAGTCCATTTACCTTCTAACTTTTGCTCTGTTTTCCCTAAAAATACAGACCCATTTGGCTCCATTGGGCCCCATTATCATGCTTGTGCTTTAGCCAGTAGGAATAAGAAAATGAATCTCTCTCTCTCTCAATCTCTCCCCCCCCCTCTCTCTCACTGTGTGTGTGTGTGTGTGTGTGTGTGTGTGTGTGTGTGTGTGTGCGCGAGCGCGCGCATTCACCTTGGGATTGAAGTCAGTTCTTTGGTACTGAGATTCATCTCCAGTTCTTTTTAAAATTTTATTTTTGAGACAGAGTCTCCCTAGATAGCTAAGTTGGTCAGGCTGGGCTTAGATTTGCAGTCTTTCTGCCTCATCCTCCTGGAGTACTAGGACTACAGGCATGCACAAAAATACTCAACTAGAACATGTCTTGATATTGTTCATACCTTTCCTATTTGCATCCCATATAGCCATAGCTCCATAGCCATAAGTAACTCAAATGAGAAATGTAGCAATATGTAATTTTGCATTCTGTGGGGCTATGGGACCAACTAAAGTCAGAAATAGCCGGGCGTGGTGGTACATGCCTGTAATGCCAGCGCTCAGGAGGCTGAAGCAGAAGGATGACTGTGAGTTTGAGCCCATTCTGGGCTACCTAGTGAATTCAGAGCCAGACAGAACTATGAAGCAAGACTCTGTCTCAAAAAAAAAAAAAAAGAATTTACAGAGAAGATAATGGTCACTGGGTGACAATTGTCAATTTTTGTCATAGAAAATTTTAACTTATTTTTTTTATCTCCTAGCCATCCTTTATCTACTTTCCTAGTCATGTAAACATTTGTTTATCTGATCTTTTTCCTATTAAAATAGAAACATCTAAGCTGAAGGTATAGTTTATAGTAGAGCATTTGACTAATATGACAAAGGCCTTGGGTATGATCCCCAGCATTGTGACAAAAGAAAAACAAAACAAAAGCCAGATTTAAGAAAATTTAAAATACTAATACAATAACATAAGAATTCCATACATATTTGGGCTTTTTCTCTACCTTTTGCACTTTGAACTGTGTCTGGTATGTTATAGCATATAGCATTCATAGAATGAATGAATAAATAGGTGAAGTGGATGGGGATTTATTTATAATTGCATACATTAACTGCTTCAGAGGTTTGGTATGAGTTTGGATGTCTCTTCTTGTTGTGTTAAATTGTTATGTTGGAATAAATGGAATTGTAATAAATGAACAGTCATTTAAGTTTATGAAAGTAGTAGCCATTTATGGGAGAAGTATTCTATGAGATTGAAATAGATTACAAATTTCAGTATCTAATCATAGTATTATAAGTTTGAGATTATCTATGGTAGATTTAAATTAACTTAACCTTAGAAGCAATTGCTTCTAAGCAAACATTTGCCTTAAAATTATTAATATGTCATGGCCTGTGGCTAGATACTACTCCAAAGCCTCATGCAGTTGTAGATGGCTTTTCAGAGGTGGCTAGATCTAGAGTATATGATGCTGGGATCAAGGCTATGTGATTAGTAGATTAGTCCACTGAGTGGTTTGGCATAGTTCTCAGAGTGGAAAACTGGAAGGCCCTTCTTGAGTATGAATACTATCTACCCTAAAGGATGGGTAGCTTAGAGTGACTATAAGGGACAGAAAGAGGGTTACTGTTGTCACTGCTGCTTTGCTACTTTGTTGCCTGCTGCTTTTGCTGTTTTCTGCCTACCATGAACGGTTTCTCCTTTGTGATGTCCCTTTTTGCCGTGCCATTCTGCCAGCCAACTATGGACTGAAATCTCTGCAAGCTGTGAACTGAAATGAGCTTTTCTTCTTTATTTTTGGGTGTCAGATATTTTACCTCGGAAAAGTAGCAAAAACAATAAGGTACCAATAAGAAATTATTTAGAAAAAGCCAATGAATTTAAATCCCCTTTCAAGATCCTTCATTTGTCCTTATATATCTGGCTACTGTAGTGTGCTTTTAGTCAAATCTTCTAAATTCTTAGTTTTCTTCCTCTGTAAAATGGAGATTGCAATATGTACCCCACAGAGTCAAGGACACTTTATATATAGCAATCTTAGAAATTCTTTATACTTAGTACAGTTTAATAAATGTTTATTTTTTTTACTAGTCCTACAATATGAAAGAATTTAGACCTTTAGAATAATTAATTGCATTATTTAGTAAAAAATAAAAGAAGTTTTCCTAATTGGTTATCTTCACGTTTCCAACTTTTTAAAATGCAATTATAAAGGTTGAAATGGTATTCTCAACAGTCAGTAATTATGTTAGGTTGGGGTTTCCAAAATGAAAATAGATATCTTAAAAGATTTAATGAGTTTTACAGGATACAATATATTACTCATTGTGTTCATTTTTAAGATAGTTTTTAAAATTTTCTTGCTTCAGTTTTAAATATATATACATATTCGATTTCTGAGTTATTACTTGTTCTGAAAAAGAAGAAAGAACAAATACCAGGATTGTAGTTCTAAGGCAGTGTGTGGCATCACATCCATGAGCTTCAGGGCACTAATGCTGAACTTTAAACAGAACCTTAATGCCTCGTATAAAGCACTGTCAGAATATCCATTCTGAAAGCCAATGCCTTTTAATTTTAAATCAGGTCAGTTAATTCGCTTTTAGTTTATCTGCACAGAGAAAGTACTAGTACTCCCCCACCTTAGTTTCTCATGTTGCTATTGATGCCCTTTTGTCCTCAGCCCCCACCTCTGCATTTCTATGACTCAGTACTCCTCTCTTCACCACACACTCTTTCCTATAAACTATAAAAGATACTTCTATCCTCGAAGACATAGTTCTTATCCTTGTCCTACAAATCATTCTGTCTTTGGGGCTTCTTCCTAATTCAAACAGGGTAATATTTTATATTTTTCTCAAGGTGTAAGTATTTTAAACTATTTAGTACTAAAGACAAAATATGACACCTTCTTTTACAGGCAAAATAATAGGATTCTAATGAGAGAACTTTGTATTTTGATAGTGTATTGAGATGGTAGACATTTGTAACACCCCTATACCAAACTATTTCACTGATGAGGCTGGCCACAGTTGTATTTTTAACTTCTCACCATTTGCTAAAGGAGAAAAAAGATTAAATAAAGTGACTCTTACTGCCATCATACTAAAGAACAAAACCCACACCATGAGGCCCGTGAAAGACAACCTTATCCACCCAGGGTAAACATGAGCACTTTAGCCAACTGGTAAACAAGGTCTACATTGATCTTCCCCTAACTGAGAACTTGTTTTTAAATACTGTGTTTATCCTTGTCCTATTTACAGTCTATATTAGGTGGCTGTGGGCAATTAAAGATTAGGGCAGGATTGGGAGGGACAGGATGTGGAAGCTATTGTGTGTTAGGCAGGCAGACACCACATTACCATTATTGAGGATGGGTTCTACACTGGTGCACACACAACCCCAAAAGAGCAGGTGCCAGATGAATGTGGAGTGATGAATTGAACAGTCGGTTATCTTGCTAAATCTGGAAGTAAAGACCTGTTGGAAAGGATAACCAATGTGTTATAAACGTCACACATCCAGTGAGGCTGTCCCTACAAGCACAGGCTTTTGTTTACAAAATGCTCTTTCTTCTTGGTGCTCAATTGCTCACATGGTTTCTACTTTCCTAAATGAGAAAGATTCAGCCCACAATTGACCTTACCATGCTAAGATGAAGACAGAATACTCATAAGCAGTATGGTGATGGCCGTTTTATAAGCCAGTATGGTACACAAGAAAATCAAATGCATTTGTGACTGAACTCGTTACAATAAAGGCCTAAAGGCAACAAAAGAACTGAGAAACTATTACAACCACTACCGACTTCAATTTGCTAGGCATGGCTACCTATGTTTTACAGATGAGAAAACAGGTTCTGGGAGATTAAGTAAAATTCCCAAAGTATCTTACTTGTAAGTTACAAAGATAGAATTAAACATGGATTCTGTTTGATACAAAGTCTTTTGTATTTTTACAATATTGTGAAGAAATCTGTATTTTCCTAATCTCTGATATCTATGAATATACAAATACCTTTTATTAATATTTACATGATAAAATAAAGAAGCAGAGTTGAGAATTTTCAGAATAGCTATAGCTATGTGCTCTTTACTGATCTCCTTTGGAATTTAACATCCAAGTGCTAGGTTTATTTTGGCTAAGGAGATTTGCTTATAACATTTATGGGTCTTTTCTTACTTGTGTTTTTCTGGCTTGCAGACTTCTGGAGTTCTCCATGGTGTCTATTCTCAGGGTGCTTTCCTTCCTTCAGCTGTGCAAATACTAAAGTTATTAAAATACTGAACATAAACAAATGTGCCATTTGCTGCACAGACCTCCCCTTCCTTTCTGGTGTGTGCACTACAGTGTCATAAACACACTTACCATTGTCACTGCCAGCAGTAGGCATGAAATACAGCTCCATCAAAGCAGTCCACTTATGTGGAAGTCTCACCATTTACCTGTCTTCCTTTGTAAATTTATTTCTTTTACTAAAGCATATCCATCTCAGCTCTTAAGTCTTAACGTGAACTGGGAGAAAAGGAGGGGTAAAAGGAGCCTTATGACCAGCTTGTCAAGCACAGAAGGTAAAGTCATAGGGCTGGGAACTGTGAAAGAAATAAAGTTTCACATACAGGAATATTAAGACACAAGTTGCCAAAGAAAACCCACAAATCATTTTTTCCTTTGCTTTCATAATCCCAACATTTATCCAAAACTTTGTCACATTTCCTTCCACCATTCTAGCCAGCCTGTATTTTTCCTATACAGATCCAAAATACTGAAGTTTTTAAAAACATTTTTCTGTAAGGCATCTCTCCTTACATACAAATTTAGCGCGATCTATTTAAATAAAAACCCATTAAACAAAATATGAAGTTTCTGAAAAAAAAATACATACAATGCATTGTCAAGAAATTTACTGACAGAACCTGGACCTCACAGACAGCTGTCACGTGACAAGTGTCTCCAGCATGATTGCAGCCTTGGACAATGGAACCAAGGCTGCTCCATTATGCAGTGTTCATCATAAGGCCTGGCATATGTTAAGAGTGTAACAAATGTTAGCCATTATTATTATTAGCATTTAAAACTAGTATAAATGTATGAAAAGATATCAAAATATATGAAGTCACTTGAAGTAATAATGGTTTAAACCTCATTTACAAATGAGGCAGAGAGAAGTGAAGGCCCATGTTTCAATTCACACATAGAGAAAAAGTGGAGTGGTTCTTTAACAGAAACAGATATGGATACAACTTAAGCTGTAGTCCTATTTCATATGAGTAAAAAATGTATAGTTCAAAATATAGATTGTTAAGCAATAAATCGTCCAGAAATGAAGGGGTGGGTGTGAGGCTACATGCCTGTCGTCCCAGCTACTTGGAAGGCGGAGACAGGAGGATTGTTTGAGAGAGTAAGAGGCTAATTTGGACAACATAATCTCAAAAGAAGAAGGCAAAGAAGAAAGGGAAGAGGAGAAGGAGGAGCAAGAGAAGGATAAGAAGAGAAAGAGGAGGAAGAAGAGGAAGAAGGATGGGGAGAGAAAATGAAAGTGTATATTTTATAAGGTATGATTTGTCAATGGGTCAGGCCTGACATCACTAACAAAATCTATTCTGACTCTGTGCTCACCATCACAACTTCCATGAATCTACTGGTTTCTCATGTGCTTTGTGAGAATCCAAAACCACCCACTTTCTCCCATTCATGTATGTAGCATTTTAATATAAAATGTTGAGTAAATTGTTTTGAAATCATGAATGGACAAGTAAGAACAAGTTTAAAAAATTGGAAAAGTAACAAAAGAGTTCAAAGGAAAAAAAAATCAAGACAGCCAAAGTCTGCAAAGGCACAGAGGACATTATATGAGACAATGTCATTTGATTTGGCAAGAAATGTTATTTGAAGAATTTGGAGATTCTTTTCATACTGTTGTATAGTAGCAACTAAACCCAAGTAGAAAGGGTTCAAGGCAAGAGTGAATGAATTGGAAATTTAAGCAGCATATGTAAATGCTGCAGATCGTCCCCCACTTACGATGGTTCAACATAACGATGCTTCAACTTCAGGATGGAGGAAAGCAATATGCTTTCAGTAGAAACTATACATCAAATTTGGAACTTGAACCCTTTTCCCAAACAACCAATATTCTGAACAATCCTCTCTTGAGATGCTGGGCATAGCGGTAAGAGTTGGCCACACTACCATGAGGTTGAACAATGGATACTCTATGATGTTATCTAGGGTAGGTGTATTTTGACATCATATTTTCAATGTACAAGAGATATGTCAGCATATAGCTGTAGAGGATTTGTGTTTGAAAGACTGGCCATGAACTGAAGGTGAGAGGAAGTTCAGTGTCTAGAAAAGAAACTGAGCTGCACATGTGTGTGTGATTATCTGTGTGTATTTTGGAAGTGGAAACTCAAACATGTTTGGAGATAAAAGAGAAACAAAAATTCTGGTAATTGGAGATTTGGAGTAGTTCGTCTCTGAGACTTGAACTGTGGGCAGAATTTGTGCTCTACTGTTTTATTCCTTAGTAGATGGAGCCACCTTCTAACTCCAGGGTTTAAGATAGCCCTGACATGTGGTAAGCATGTGACAAATGCTGCTGGATAACGTCGGATAGTGTTTGGCACACAGCAAGAATGCAAGGTGTACTAGTTCCTTTTTCCTCTTTTAGCTCCCCCATCCATTCTCATTGTCACCGCCTGATTCCATGCAGTGATGGGACAAGAAGTGATGGTGGGTAGGAAGCCTTTAGCCCCTCACTTTATATCCGTCCTTGTAAAGCTGAGATGTTGTATTTGCTGTGTAAGCACAGCTCAAATAAACACATTCTAGGTTAAAACAAATTCCATCTTCAATATTCCCTTAAAGAAGTATTTTATTTGTTCCAAAACACCATATACAGTGCTTGCAGTTTCCTTGCCTGCTTCCTTTCAGCTCATCTATTCAATGACTATTTTCTTGTGTAGCTACCATATATGAGATGTTCTGAGCACTGAGCAGTAGGGCAGGTTTTTAAGATGTTCATCTGCATCGAAGTTACATACTAGTGGCAGAACCACTGAGCTAAATCCCTGGCCCTGCATGTTAGATATTGAGAAATACAAAGGAAAATAACAAAGCAGAGAAGGCAGGCAACACTGTTTGGGGGAGCACTTTGATTTCACGTAGAATGAATAGGAAGGCCTCACAGAGAAAGTGGCATTCAAGTAAAGACCTGAAAAAAAAAGTGGGAGTCAGTCATGGTAGGACAAGAATAGAAGCAGGGAGGTCATTTAGAAAGCCCTTCTAATAATCTAAGCAAGAGACAGTGGTGTCTTGGTTTACTGCAGGTAAGGTGGTGGAAAGTAATCAGATTCTGGAAGGGAGAACCAACAGAATTTGATGGCAAATTAAATATAGAGTATAAGAGAGAGAGGGATTCCAAGCCTTAGAAGCTGAGAAATGGGAAGGATAGAGTTGACATTTTCTAACATTTGGGTGATTCTAAAAGAACTGGTTTTCGGGGGAAAGTCAAATACTTAAAATTAGATATGTTAATTTTGAGGTGAACATTCAAATGGACATGTGAAGTAGCCAACTGGGTATGTGATCTCAAATTTCTGGGAAAAAGCCTCAAATGGAAATAGAAGTCTGAGGTTTTCCAATACTCGTTTAAGTATATATTTAAACCTTCAGCCTGAATGAGACCCTTTTTGTTGGTTCCTGTCTAGGAACTCAAGGTCTTAGTGTTGAAATACTGCAGGGTTATTTCTGAATCTCTTCTCTTTTCTGTCTCCACTCATCATCTCTGATTCTCTCCTCTTTCTCTCATACTTGTTGTCAAATCTGGCCAGAAAATCTTAGATACCTTTTGCAACTGACTTGTATTGGTCAGCTTGAGACAAAAAGGTGGTTGAAACCTACTACTTCATGGCAGCCAGGAAACACTGAATAATAATGATGCAGAAAGAAAGCGGCCAGAGACCAGATGTAGTCCCCAAGGTCATGTCCTATGATCCACCCGTGTACTCTTAGAGGTTTGCTTACTAATCTTCAGTATGTCTCTCAAGCCAATCAAGTTGATGAGGTAAACCATCCCAAGTCTACCCCTTATCAACTTGACCATATGCATCTCCTCAAGCCATACTAGAGATAGTAATAAGGTGATAATTCTGCCTAGCATGTTGTAATTATCCTGTCTACAACAGAAAAATCTCAACAATTTCAGTATTACTCAAAATTCCAAGTCCAAAGTTTCTTCTCAGATTCAAGGCAAGCAGCTACAAGTCCCTGTGAAATTCAAAAAGTAATCTACATAATCTCAAAATTCAGTGGCACAAAGTAAACATTCCCATTCCAAAAGAGAGGAATAGAAAAGATTTAGATCAAAGCAAGATTGAAACCCAACAATGAAAACATTAAGTCCTGCAGTTCCATCTCCAGCTCTGGGGAATGGGGTGGAAATATATGCATTCCAAAGGGCTTAAATGGCCCCACCCCTATGGCCACCCCTATGGTTTTTTATTGCAACTCACACAGCCTCTCTCTTGGTCTGGCTTCACTCAATGCCTTCAGCTTTCTGTAGCAGATATTCCACATTCATGTCCTCTCCAACTTCCTGGGGTCTCCACTGCAGTGTCTGCTTCACGCACAACTTCATACATTAATCTCTCAGGGGATACCTGGTTGTTCTGTGCTCTGTGATCCTGTCATACATTGTCTGGCCTCCCAGGCCATCTTTTTGTTTTTGTTTTTGTTTTTTGAGACAGAGTCTCACTATGTAGTTGTGACTGACCTGGAACGCACTATGTAGTTCAGGCTGGTCTTGAACTCACAGTGATCCTCTTGCCTCAGCCTCCCAAGTGCTGAGATTACAGGCATGCACCACCACACCCAGCTCCAGGCCATCTTTTGAAATATAGGAGAAACCCCCTATGACCCCATAAGTCTTACATTCTGTGTGCCTGCTAAACTAAGATATCATGTCCAATATTAAAGTATGCCACAAGTTTGAGCAGTAGTTGGGCCCTCTTGGATCATGGCTTCAATGTCTTCTGAGTCCACGTGTGTCTCAACACAGGTAAATACTTTCCTAGGCAGCCCTGAGTGAAGATAATAACGTGACGCTTTCTTTTCAAAGAAAAGTCCCTCAAAATACTTTAAATTTTACGTGATGAGTGGCAACTTACTGATTCCTGAGATGTCCTCAGTTATCTTTCTTCTTGTCCTCATTCAAAGAATTTGGGTTTCTTTTTAAGGCACCAATATCTTCAGCAATCACAACTTCTTTGGCTCCAACAGTAGACATGTTTCTTTTCTAGCCAAGCTGAAAGTTTAAAAATTTTTTTACTCAGCATTTATTCTCAATTCTCATTGTAAATATGGCTGAAAGCAGCCAGCAGTACCCATGCTATGACCAGAATGTTGTGTTGCCTTGAAATTTTCTCAGTCAGATTAGTCTTCTACTTTTAAATTCATCATCACACAAATTCTTAAGACATGGACAACTGTAGACAAGTTCTTTGCCGAAATGTAATATGAATGACCTCTAGTCTGATTCCCAATAAAATTCTTGTTCCCATTTGAAACCTTATGAATAGTCTTTAATGTCTGCATTCTTGTCAGCGTCTGATCTTCTGAATTCTATCAGAACTGCCCATCTAATAATAGCTTTCTAGTATTTTTCTAGCTTGATTTTCTAAACTTTTCCAAACTCCTACTGCAAACCAATTTCAATGGCTTCTAAATCACATGATTAGGTATAGTCACAGCAATAGCCCCACAAATAGAACTCATTTCTTGTATTTGTCAGCTTTCAATTGCTGTGACAGGATACCCTCCATACACAACTTAAGGAAGGAAGGATTTATTTTGCCTTACAGTTTCAGAGGTCTTAGTGTATGGTTGGCTGGCTCCCCAAGGTCACAACCCAATGTCCAATCCAGAATTATGTTTACTAACATCCTATATGTCTCTCAAGCCAATAGAGTTGACAAGCAAGATTAACCATCATGTGACCTATTTCCACCATCTTTGCTTTCAATACCCTGACCCATTTCTCTAATAGATTGTTGTAATAATCCTGTAGCCAGTCTTCTATTTCCAGAAGTACTTTCCTTAAGGCTATGTTCAATAGGTAGTGAGATTTTCTAAAAATTTAAATTATTTAGATTTATTCTGCTGCTCCAGTGGCTGTCTATCTTGGCCAGAGTGAATGCTAATCTCCACAATGGCTGATGAAGGACTTATATAATCTCATTATCTGATAATACAGTTTCCTTGCTGTTTGCCTCTGTGTGCATTATTCATTTACTTATTTCTAGTTAACTTTTTCCTTGTGTACCTGGACCTCTCTAAGCATGGCTCTGTGCTAGATGATCTAAGATGCAAAACTCTCAGAAGCTTGAATGTACAGGTACTACTAGAAGACCCACTGCTTCAGTTCTTACATATTTCCCAAGGTTCATACTCCTTCACTTTAAGAGTTTTAATTATTTGCCTAGCAATTTTCAAGGAATTAAGATAATTATCAGTGAATTTCACTTTTATTTATTTATTTATCTATTTATTTGGGTAACAGGGACCGAACTTGGGACCTTGCACTTGCAAGACAGGCAGAGGAAACACTGAGCTAAATCCCCAGCCCATCTCTTTTATTTTTTTAAGTTGTACTTAAACATAATTGAAAAGTGGTACAGATATTTCAGGAGAGATCATTATTTTTTATCTACTTCCAACGCTAGGCAACTCAATGAATTGTAGGTCCTTATAATGACTATAACTGTGAGATTTGATAAATTCTGAGTGATATCACTGTTATAAAGAGTGTGCTTCCCACTAAATAACTTTATTAACCTCTGTGGCATTAAGTCACCCTTTGAACTTGATTTTCTTATCTCTAAGATGCAGTATTTTTTTTACTACATGTTTGCAGTAAATTCATTGTGGGGAAATGATACATGTCCATAACACATCCCAATTCTCCCCCTCCTTCTTCTTGGACTCTTTGTAAAAAATAATGTGTTACCAGCATCAGATCCATTTATTTATTTTGTAAGTCTTTGTCAAGTTAATTTTCATAAATACAGATTAACAGACAGACTAACAAGCCAAAAAATAGAATACATAAGAAAATTATACTAAGTCAAGTCCATGCTGGATTAAAATAACTTTTTTTGTCTCTTTTTTTCCTATAGTCTTTTATTTTGCACTTTATTTATATATTGTGTTTTTCATATTAAAGATACCATGTGATATTTAAGCTTGTATGTCTGATTTACTTCATGTAACATTATGGTCTCAAGGTACATCCATTTTTTTTTTTTTACAAATGATTCAAATTCACCCTTCTTTATGGCAGAGTAGTACTCCATAGTGTATAACTAACAGATTTTCTTTAGCCATTTGTTTGTTAATGGACATATAGGCTACTTCCAAGATTTAGCTATTATGAGCCACGCTGCTTTATATATAGGTATGCATACATCACTGTGATATGAAGTCTTTAACTTTTGAGAGGATACCTAGGGGAAGAATGGGTAAAATGGAATTTTTATTTTTAGTTTTTTGAGCAATCTCCATATAAGTTTCCATAGTCATTGTTCCAGTTTATATTCCACCAAAAATGATGAAGTGTTCCTTTTTCCCTGCAGCCTTTCCAACATTTGTTAATGTTTTATTTCTTGAAGACAGCCATGCTTTTTGGAATGAGATGGAATCTTATAAGATGTAGTAATTTATCTAATATATCTTCCCAAGCTGAATGTATTGTAGGTGCTCTAAGTCATTTTGATATCACCGTTTCCCAGATTTTGTTTTGGGCAGTCACTTTAAATCTCAAGTAGTCTCATGTCCTCACCTAATTATGCCATAAAATATCGTTTTCCAGGCAAACATGGCAGCACAGGCCTGTAATCCCAGCACTCTGAGAAGCTGAGGAAGAAAGATTACAAATTCAAGTCTAGCCTGGACAACTTAGTGACTTAGTGAGATCATCTCAAAATTTTTAAAAAAAAAATTTTTTTTTAAAGGGCTGGGGATGGAGCTCAGTATGAAGGCCTTGGGTTCAGTCCCCAGCACTGAGAAAAAATATTATCATTTTCCATGTGTACTATGTTATGAACCAAGCTAGAAAGCATGTCCTAGACTTCTTTTAACAGTCCTCCTGTCTCTAAAGCTCTTGATTCATTCTGTTGAATGAGCATATTATGTTCCTGAAGGAAGGTGGATAAGTTTTACAAAGAGTTGCTTTGAACTTATTTGTGAATAAAGAAAATCTCAAGATTTGGTTCAAAATGAGTTGTTGGGAATAGTAATGCTCTCATAGGAAAAACGGTTCTGATGATCTGAACACACCCAGGCCCTTGCATGGCTCCTAGGACACAAGTCCCATTGCTCCTGAGTAGTTACACATTGTTTATTCACCTTCTCACTTCATTTTCATAAGTTCAATACTGCGGGACAATGCAGAGGTTAGCTTAAATGACCTTATTTCCTTTCCTTTTACTTTTGTTGATATCTAATAGTGTGTGCCTTTGTCTTGCTTTATGTTTTCAGCCCTTCTATTTCCTTGCTAATTTGAACAACTTTAAGAAACAAAGCCTGATTTCTTCCCAAGGACATAGACCCATAAATCTTAGCAAAAGCTGAGACTGAGTTTACCTGAACATACGGGTTTACACCTCCTTTGAGTCTGGCTTCAGGGTGAATGTTTAGCATTCAGCAACCCAGACAATAGACTGGCTCTATTGTTTGGGGTGTAGTATGTTCTACCTTTATACAAAGGCTAAACAAAACAGAATCCTGTCTCCATCCTAGTCCTACTGAATCTGAGCCTCTGTGAGAAGAGGGATGGGGAGTGTCAAGGAATCTGTGGTTAATACAAAACTAAAGTTTCAACCTTGGCAATGGGTTCTTGTAACGCAGGAAATAATTTTCTTGGAGAATGGGGAAGGGTTTGAAGAAAATTTCACAGAAGAGTTTTTTTTTTAAATTTATTATTTTACTTTTAAAAATTTATCCTTGAAGGATGAATCAAAATTTGGCTAATGGAGAAGACTGAGGCGGGATATTTCAGCCAGAAGTGGCCTTAGGAGAGGAACACAGTGTGACTCTGTGACATATTTTGAAGAACTGTAAGTGGCCTAGGGTTACTAGACTGATGCCTGATACAGGACTGAGGAGCTGGCTCTGAAAAGTCGACTAGGACTAAGTTATGAGAAGTCTTGAATAAAAAAGTTATATTTTATTTCTAGGCCATAAAAGCCATTAGAGATGATATAATAATGGCATGGCAATATTTTTATGTAATAGTAAAATATAGCAGCAATATACAGAATAAATTCAAGAAGAAGAAACTAGAAACAATGAGGCAAAATGAAGATTATTAGAGTAGCTCAGAACAATGATTTCAAGCAATAGCTGGGGAAATGGTGATAGAGATAGATTGGGAATCATCCCTTTGCAAAATATATATTTACTCTTTTGCAGGTGGTGGGTCCTGTGCCAGCTTCTTGGAACCTAATGAGAAAATTGATGTAAAAATAAATAGCTATAGGGTAATAAGGTAATAATTATACTAGAGGTTCATTGAGAAGCTACTGAACACATGTCAGAAGCAGTATCTAAGCACTCTTCCAGCCTTAAGGACATCGTTATGAAGCAGGTAACATCTCAGGTGATGCTTGTAAGATTGTGGGCATCCCAAAGAAGACATATTCTAGGCAAAAGCAACAGTAGTAAAAGATTAATCTGAGTGGGCAGGAGGGCATCCAATTTTGAAATGTCTTGTATTATTTGCAAAAATGTTTAAATGTATCTTATAGTCCATTATAAAAAATGCGAACAAGAAAACAAGTGTTTGTACAGCACAAGCTATCTTGACAGTAGTACAGAAGTTAGATGGAGGTGGTATGGATTGCACAGTCAGATTAGAAGCGGGGGGCTGCAAACGAACACTAGTAACTACATGAAATTAACATGTCTTGCTAATTTGATTAAATGGATGTTGTGTGTGTTTCTACACTTGCTTTTATGCACATGACAACACACATGTCCTAGTTAAAGAAGCAGAAAGAATTTGTGATTTCAGCTGACTTTTTGTTTCTCAAATGAGGGGATAATAGTGTGATCGTCTATAATAGTAAATGCATGACTAAGAGGCTGGCAGTAAATTAGTGAGATTTTGAGTAACATGGAAAATTTTAGGAAGCAGATATATATGTACCCTATAGATATGTTATATATATGAATATCAGGAAAAAGATAAAATAAGATTTAGGGACTGCTGAGATATTGGAAGGAGTAGCTGTGAGATATTTACATATCAAATAAAGGGTGAGGAAAAGGTTGGAAAGAATAAAATATTGAATTTGACCTTGAACATCTTATAAATTATTGGACAACTATACAAACAAGTTGATTAATTCATAAACTCTCAGTTTAGACTTCCTAGGTTCAAATTCCAGCTTTAGCAGTTAAGAATGAATGAACTTTAGTGTTTCCCCATGAGCAAATTATTTAATCTTTAAGAGGCTCAGATATTTCATCTGTATAATAGAATTAATATGAGTCATCAATTCGTAGGATTTGTGAGAGGGTTAAATGACATATAGGAAGGCACTATAGGTAATCCTAGAGCATAATTAGTGTTAGCTATTATTGGGATTATTTAGTGCCTTAGTAACTTTCTCATTGCTGGAATAAAATACCCAACACCTACAGTTTAAAGGAAGAAAGTTTGTTTCAGCTCAAGGTTTTTAGAGCATTCAGTCTACAGTTTTCTGCTTCTGAGGCAGGAAGAGCATGGTGGAAAGGGTCTGACAGGAGAAAGTCGTTCACATTATGGTAGCTGAGAGGCAGAAAGAGAAAGGTGGAGCCCACGAGGAGTCACCAGCCTCTACCTGGCCTGACTTCACCACAGCACATTCAGCAGCCTAATGACGTAATTGCCTTCTCAAAGTTGTGCTTCTGAGCTCATGAGAGTTTGGGGGGGGTCATTCTTGATCTAAACCTTAACATTTAGGAAAGATGGAAGGCCTTTGTTCTTAAATGGTTAAACTGTAGCTCTAAACAAATTTTTATGAAGAAAAAAATTCTTTGTTGCTTGGTTAACATAGAGAATGTAACCTGTCTTTCTGTATTTTTGTCCTTGGGTCAAAATGATGTAAAAACTAGAGTCTTTCATAGGAAATGTAATTGATATATCCCATCCAGTCTTTGAAAGGTAGTTTACAGTTGATCAGAAATGCAACACGATAAAACAAAGAGCAAACTTGTGATGTTCTCAAGATCAAGGCTTTAATGTATCCATTAACATAAAAGTACCTTGCTCTTTATCAGGCATGAAAAATTATTTAGGGTCTCCTGGCTAAGCAGCATGAAAGCACTTTTCTCATTTAATGTTCTTAATTAATGCTTCTTTTTTCTTATCATCAAGCATTGGCAGATCCAGTGCTAGCTTCAAAGGAAGTGGAATATATCATAGCTTGCCTAGATTGTGTCATTTGCTAGTGACTGAAAAAAAAGGTAGTAGTTAGGTTTTCATGATCTTTTCTCCTTAGATGCAAGAAATGAGTGAATTTTAAAAGATCTAAGTGGATACATCTTATTTTTTTCCCCTGGAATTAAATGAATGACATGGTCTGATTAGGCACCTCTTTGAGTGATGAAAGTGCCATCAGATTCAAAAGACTTTCAAACTTTCTTAGAAGAATTAATATTTTTCCCTATTTTGTAAGTCATTGTTGCAGACACTTTTCCTATTTTACTGTATTTAATATCATAACAGTCCTTGGTGTAGGTGCTATAATTGTATCTCACTTTATGGATTAAGAAACAGAAATAGATATAGTAATTTATCCTCGTACTCTGAAGTTGTACTTAAAAGTCTGTGAGTTTGGTCTTGATGCTCTAGTGTCTGTGGTTAATTTTAAAGAAACTGTAGAATAACAATATAAGCAATTGGTCCTACAAATTTATCTTTTTTTCTCATTGAGTTTATTGGTACATTTTAGGGATACAGTACAGTTACATTCATCATTGGGATCATGAACCTTCACATGACAGATCTTGGTTCTCAGTTTTTCCCCTTATCCCTGCCCTCCCTTCACCCCCTTCTCCCTTCCCTATTTAGAAGTACTTTATTTCCATTTTTCATTTTCTCATTTTTTCCTTTTCCCTTATTACCTTCCCCCTATCTTTCCCCCTACCCTTCCCATTTCCCTTACACCTTTATCCCTTTTCCTTCTATTTCACATTGTCAATTATACCATTAGGATCTTATGTACAATTATAGTTTTTCACACCAGAGAAACTATTTGGTATTTACACATGTGTGACTTATTTATTTCACTTAAGAATATATCCTCAATATGCATGCATTTTCCTATGAATGACTCTAGTTTCTCATTCTTTATTGCCGAGTAATATTCCATTTTATAGAAAAACCACATCTTTATCCAGTCTCCAACTAATGGGAAAATGGGCTGTTTCCAAGTTTTAGCTATTACAAACTGTGCTGCTATAAAGATGGGTGTGCATAAATCACTGTGATGTGATTCTTTTAATTCTTTTGGAAAGATACCCAGCTGAGGGATGGCTGGGTCAAATGGAACCTCTAATCCTAGGTCTTCAAGGTATCTCCATATTGATTTCCATAGTGATCACACCAGTCTGCACTTCCACCAACAATGGAGAAGGGTTCCTTTCTCCCCACAACCCCGCTAACATTTGTTATTGGTTGATTTCTTAATAGCAACCATTATTTGTGGGGTGAGGTGGAATCTCAGTGTTGTTTTCATCTGCATCTCTTGAATGACCAGTGATGTGGAACATGTTTTCATATATTTACTTGCTGCTTTTATTTCTTTGTCTGAGAAATGTCTGTTCATTTCAGATACCCATTTTTTTTTATTGAGTTTATTGGTACATTTAGGGATACAGTACAGTTATTTTTGAATAAGATCTTTATATTTGGTGGGGATTGAGTTTTTTGAGTTCTTTATATATTCTAGATAATAGTCCTTTGTCTGAGGAGCAGCTGGTAAAATTTTTTCCTACATCCTACAAGTGTATCTTAAAATAGTTTGAAAATACATATGTATATATTAAGTGAAATAGATACTTAATTACATGTCTTTTGTTTTTGTTATTGTTGTTTTGAAACAGAGTCTCACTGTTTACTTCAGTCTGGCCTTGAACTTGCTATGGAGCTCGGGCTGGTCTTGAACTCATAGCAATCCTCCTGGGTCAGCCTCCTTAATGCTAGGATTTCAGACATGTGCCAACATGCCCAACTTTAAATTATATATCTTTGGTAAAAATGTACATAAAAGAATTACACTTTTTAAAATCTCTCATTTGATATTAAAGACAATTTTTTGAGTGAAACTGGAAAAGATTTTTGTTCTATTTTCAAATGAGATTCAACAATTAAACGTTTTACTGAAGGTTGCCTCATAAACTGGGATCACAGTCTAAGCTGGTTTAGTGTTTTCCCACCAGGCCAGCTTTCTGCCTGCACAAACAGTAAACCCACATTACCTTTTGAGAATGGAGGAGGCAAGGGATAAAAGGATATTTTCATAAATGAATTTTTACTGAATCATAGAAAAGGGCATACTATTTTATTTCTATGATATTCAATACTGAGCCTGAATTGGAAGTGAAGAGTTTTTAGATCATTTTATCTTATTTTTTCATGGACACTCACAAATCCATTCTTACCAGCTAAGTTTCAGAAGCTGCAGTTCTTCGAAGTAAAACTGGAAACTGGACTGTTATCTTCATCTGCCTGTGAATAAAAAATAAATCTTCTTGAATAAACTTAAATGTGCTTCTAATGAGAATACAAAATAGTATTTGATTTTATTTAAAGCCATTCTAAAACCTGATCCCTCTTTTTGAGGGGTGCTGGGGATTGAACCCAGGACTTCATGTGTGCTGGGCATCAGTTCTCCCACAGCCTGAGCTCTTAATGTCACTGTTTGTATTCACAGAGTAGTTTTGATTTTCTTAATAATTTGTTGTAATGATATCATAGACTAAGATATTTATTCTTTCTGCTTTTCTTTGTTTTCTAAATTCATAATATCTTTAGAAGTTAATCAGTTTTTTCCGCTATACATGATGCAATAAAAAATTCTGGATTTATTTCATTAGTATATGTGCTGCCAAAGCCAGCACATGGATTTATTTTATTAAAAGCCAGGCTTTCCGGGTTGCTACTCAGGTTCACTGGGCCGCACTCCACATTCCCTCCAGGCCCAGTGCTTTTTTGAGGTGACTTTGAATGTGAGGACAATAACTGTGTTCTAAATTCTAAGCCTTTGTTTGTTTGTGTTTGTGTTTTTTAAAACATCTAAGAAGTAATTTTAGGAGAAAGTTTAGAAAACCAAACAAAGAAGTTATGAGGAGGTGGTAATAGGTACAACACCAGGAGAACTTCTATTTTGCTGGTATTCTTTATCTGAAGGAAGAATCAAATCGTTATGCTTTCACAGGCCTTCAAAAATATGCATCTGGCTAGTAGCCAGGCTCGACCTGCTGTGGAAACATTCTGTCTTTTTCACCCTTGAGTTGAATGGTGCCTGCAACACAGCAGACCAGGAAAAAAAGACACGGCTGCGTAGTGACAGCACATTAACTTGGTCTATTTCCTTTGTGCTTTACCCCGAGTTATTCCAAATGCACTGAGAACCAGGAAGATCTTGCAAGAGTTAAAGGCTGCTCCCTGCTCTGGACCACATTCATTCAGGTAGACAAGTAATGGGCACTGGAGCGCATGAGTAGATGGAGCGACAGTGGCTTTTCTGGCTGTTGCCCTATGTGTACAATCACCATGCAACCTTCTCCACACTGTAAAGTCAATGGGACAAGAAGAAATACAGTCAAAGGGTAAAGGGAAATCCACCCTTCCTACCCCTTCTTCTCTCACACATAGTCCATTTTTATCTTCCTAAAAACAAAGGATATTCTTTTAATAATTTTCTCTTTTTCTTTTCTCTTTCTTTTGCCATCTTTCTTTAATAGCATTTAATTCATACTCCTGATAGGATTTTGGCATCACATATGTGTTTTATTTGTCTCTACTGTTTTGTAGTATTTTATGTTCATCTTTGTATTGTATTTTCAACACCTAGTAGAAATCACTCCTTATACCTGATAGATATTTAATATGTGTGAAATGAATCCATAAGATCTGTTTCCATTTATTTTCTCTATTCCCCCTTTTTTTTACAACGCACATTTTCTTATGCATTACTTGTTTAAGGAAAAAATTAGATCATACTATTTCAAGAAGAATATACTAATTCCCAGATAATTCCGTTCGTTGATGGTGAATATAGTTGTCAGCTATCAGCAGACTCCCGAGTCTTTCAGAACTTTGCCAGAAGCAGACACTAGTGAACCAGGGATGTGCACATGGAAGAAAAGCCATTGTTTGTCTGTCATCACATTTAGTAGCAAGCTCTATGTGTGTCCAGAAGCTCTTTTCTTGGCCTCTCCACAGTGGTTAGAGGCAGGACGAGTTACTGAGGTGGAGGGAAAATTGGGGGACAGACAGGGAAAGTTAGAGGGCTTCAGTGAGATTTCTGGTAAATAATGAGTTAAACCCTTGCTGGAGATGATAGCTAAGAAAAACAAACAGAGAGCTGATAAGGCGCCTGGCTCCCTTCTGCCAAGGCTCAGTTCCCTCCTCCCTCCTTCTCCAATTAAACACTAAAGAAACAAAGTGTAGAACCTGGCATTAATCCCCCACATTTTGACTCTACCCCTTACTCTTAGCCATGGCATATTAAGTTCCTATCAAGCAATTTCCCTTTCTAGAAAAAGAGAAGGAGTTGAAATGTTGGATGTCAAATTGAGCTTATACGTGAAAATAAGACTTGTATGCGATGTTTTTATATGTATTTTTAGCGACTCTTTGTCTAACTTCTAATGAAAATAACCACTAACCACTAAAATAACCACTAACGTACTTCATTGTTTGATTAGCATGCAGGGTATTAGAGTTTAGATATAAAATGTCACCCCAAATCCTCATGTGTATGGAGAGTGACTGGATCATGGGAGTACAACAGCTGACTTGCTGTTCGGAGGTAGGGCAGCAAGAGGTGCAGAATTTTACAGAAGCAGAACCATGCCAGGTTGCGGGGTGGTTTCCCAAACACTAGGTGAGCGGCAAAACAGTTTGGAGGTGGGTTGTCCGGGGATATGACCTGGTAGGGAGTACTCTTGTCCCCAGTTTCTCCCTACGCTCTCTGCTTGCAGGCTGCTGTGGGATGAGCACCTGTCCTCCACCAGAACCTTCCACCATGCTCTTTTTGCTGTGGAGCCAGCCAACCCTTGACTCAAAGCTATGAGCCAAAATAAACTCTCTTCCTTTAAATTGTGGGTGATAGACATTTTGTTCCATGGATGAGAAAAGGTGATCAAGACATAAAGCAAGTAGCAATGTATATAAATGAAGTAAACAGGGCAATATAGCAATGGACCATTGCAACAAGTGTATGTAACAAATATATACTATGTTGTGAAACCATTTGAAAAGTTCCTATCTTCTTAATTCCTCAATTTTCTACAAATTAGTAGGGGAAGTACTAATTTTATCAGAAATATGGAATTCAGAAAAGCTTCTTTGGGAGGACATTGACAGAGCAATTTTTCTGAAAACTGGGATTATTGTATAGCCTTTAATAACTCTTCTTTTATTTCAGTACTTCCCACAGAAAAAGCAAATAGAGAGAATCAAATATGTAATCATTATATTATCTTTCAAAATGAAAGTTGTTCTATTTTTGACTTGTTATTTCATTAGCTCTCATAACTTTATCTTGGACCCTTATTTGAATATTTAATCACTTGATTCTTTACCACAATATCATCATACTCTAAAGCTTTTAATTTTTATCATTAATGGTGTGTACTCTCAAAAGTAAAAATTCAGATTGATCCTGAATCCAGAAATGTAAATTTCTATTCTCACTATCAAGTTCCACATTTTGTTTTTTAGTTATTTGTACATAATAGTGATTCTCAGTAAGTCAAGGTTAACTCCCTGCTTCCCAGAGAAATTTGGCAATGACTAGAAACATTTTTGGTTGTCCCACTCTAGGGTGAGCTGGTTGCTTCTGGCATTCAGTGACTAGAAGCCAGAGATATCTAATGTTAACTTCTCCAAAATATCAACAGCCAAAATTTTAAAACCCTGTTTTATAAAAGCTTTAATAGGAATACTGCTTTATTATTTTCTCTGTTACTATAGAGAATTTTAGGTACTATATGAAAAGTTCATAGGTCTGATTCACAGATAAAGATGAAAGTAGTGCTTCAAAATCAAAGAGACAGAGGGATGATATGGAATACAGAGCACAGATTGGGTACTTACATCTTCCGGAGAGGAGGAAAATGAGGTAAGGATGGCTTTAGATGCAGATAATTTTGAGGTTATACAAATATAAGTTGGTGGATATTTGTATCTAATGTCTTTCATTTATGCTGTGAGATGGTGACCATCTATTGAAAATCTGATAATCTTCCATTTATTTTATGAAATTTTATGAAGTTGAAATCATACATTGAGAGAAAGGGAGGTAGGAGTAATAACCAAAGAACTTTAAGAATAATTGAAGTAAAAAAGAGCCACTATAGAGAATGGACAGCAGTGTGAGTAGCTGCATCATGATTCAAGGGCATATATAGTTTGTGTTGGACACTGCCCCAGGGGAAGAGATTATCAAGAAATAAGAAAGAGCTTATTTCTTGCTGAGTAGATCAGGTCACAGAGTTTTAGCCATAAGAAGTAAACATGGGAAAGCAGAGAAAAACAAAGGCGAGGGCCGGTTACAATGACTGCAAAAATAGTAGTGGTTAAAGAAAACAATAGTAACTTGATGGGCATAAGAAACCCCAAGTTTATTTTACAAGACTGATTCCTAATCCCACTTGCCTATGGGAATGAAAGTCTTAACCATATGCCATGTTTGAAGCATCAACCCTTAACGATAAAGACAGATTGTGGTACTTGACAAATATATGTCAGATGACAAATGTGCTGTGTTGGGCACTAGAGATACAGACACGTGAACAAGACGGTCTTAGGTTGGATAATGTGGGAAGATTTGGATTTTCTGGCATTTTAATACAAACTAAAACAGACATAGCTGATAAAAGGGGCAAGAATATTCTCTAAAACCCAATGGAGGGTCATCCAACCCAGTCTGGAGAGTTGGTAGATGCTTTCATTGGGGAGGAAAGATTTGAGTTTGCATAACATGGTAAGGATGAGGTAGAATCACTTTATTTGCATAAGGGTAGGACCGGGGATTTAGCTCAGTGGTTCTGCCACCTACCTTGTAAGCACAAGGTCTCAAGTTCGATCCCCAGTACCCCTCCAAAAAATCCTGATAATTATAAGGGTAGCGTTCAGATGAGGTAAGTGTTACAGATGAGTGAATTAGAACAATAGAGATGTGCCTCTCTCTGTATCAGATTTGTCTATTTATTAAAGCCAGTGACCAAGAAGGGGCTAGTGCCCAGAGGCTAGTGCGCTGAGAATGGTTTGATTTCTCCTTTTAAATCATTCTTTCAGTTGGGGAGGACTGAGGGGAGAGCAAGCAGAATTTTACAGAAGCAGAACCATGCCAGGTTGGGGGGGGGTGTTTTCCCAAACACTAGGTGAGCGACAACAGTTTGGGGTGCTTTGTCCAAGCACAAGCACACAATGGTGGTAAGATTCAAGATGGAGTCGGGTTGGTTATTACATAGGCAGGATTGGCATTGAGAAATTGA